GTGGTATGGTTTTCAGGCTTAGTTCAACGCGTGGTATAGTTTACAGACTAGGATCAACCAATGGTATGGTTTTCGGACACTTTCTAAAGTGATCGTCTCCTCAGACCGATAGCACCAACATTTGTGCACAAAATGACAAATCAGTTATGATGAGATCAAGAACCGGGTCTCATGTTGGCAAAATGAACGTGCTAACCACTCGATCATGCGCATATATATATATATATATATATATATATATATATATATATATATATATATATATAGTTCCAGTTCGAATCCCAGTCGAATCCATTACATTCACTTACGTGCTAATACCCTTGAGAAAGGTGTGAATCCTCTTCTTCTCCCTCCAGTTATGGGTAAATAGCAGGGCAGACTGGGTTCTATAGCCTTGGATGGCCACTGGTCTAGGAGAAGGACAACTTTGAATTCAAAACCTGCGGAGGGTCGTTTGGGGACCTTGTGGCACGTAGTGCATCAGGTTTACTGTATTCGGCCCTTAAAAAGTGTGGATGGTCCTGCACGAAACCTTCACCACTATAATCAAATTTCATGTGCTGTTGTCGGGCTGTCGGTTTCCTAGGAACTGATCTGCTTGACCCTCATACGTCGGATTCGACGGTAGAGTCGAATATATTATATATATATATATATATATATATATATATAATATAATGTCATCTACAGACAGACTATTTCACTGTATCACAGCTTTTCCAAAACCTGGCCGATTTGGTATCATCCTGATTTTCTACCACTAAGCTATCGTTGGACGGCAGAGAGGAAGGAAATTTTAAAGTTTTTTTATGCGAAATACGTCAGTTGGCCGGAGAGCTCAATTCAATTTGGTTGAAGATCAATGCGTTATTAGCGGTATATATATATATATATATATATATATATATATATATATATATATATATATATATATATATATATGTGTGTGTATGTGTGTGCGCGTGTGTGTATACACATACAGACATATATATATATGTATGTATGTGGAGACTTTCTAAGCGTAGCTTATATGTGGCACAAGGTCAATTGTAAGGGGAACCCACTGAGAACATAGATATAGATATATGTATATATACTGACGTGCTAAAGGTCATGAGTGGGTGGTTTAGTATCGTGTAGGGCCATTCTAACATTTACAATATCTCGACATTGGATCGAATCGATAATCAGGAGATCTCTAGAGACATGCTTATTTAAATCGTCTGAATAGCAAACTATAGCTCTCAGATATTTAGATTATGTTGTATGCGAGTAGATCCCCCTACCACGCTTTATAAATGCCCGATTGGGTTCATCATAAGTGGATGTCTGGGAGTGTCTATATAATTCGTCGGAAGAATTTAGAATGATCTTCAGACCACTTCTAGCCAACTTGAGCTAGGCGACACGGCATATTATCCTTCCGGGATAGGCCATTGTTGGTGGACTACCCAGAATCCATGGATGGGTGTAAATCATCACGGAGCATTGCAACGTAGGATCCAGCAACCAGTGATGTATTTAGGTGGACCATCAGACCCAATCCCTGTGAACATACCCTGTACTATTATGAAACTACCAACAGCCTGCACGATGTCTTATTAACATGGTTTTATGTGGTTTTCGTCACATCAGAACCTTACAGTCAGCTCGAAGCATTTGGAACTGTAATTCATTGGATCATGCAACCGATTACCAATCCTCAAGAGTCCAATTAATTATTTCACCAGCCCAATCGAGATGCTGTCATGTGTCGTATTGTTAAGAGGCGATTCCTTATAGGTTTTCTGCTCTTACATCCCATAGAAGTCTGCTAGATATGCGTCTGGTAACTTCTGAATTTAATGTAGATGTAATTTGAGCTATTAGGTTGGTGCAAAAAATAATGTCGTTTTTTGACGTTCAACTTAACGTCAAAAAACGACATTATTTTTGCACCAACCCAATAGTATCGCTTCTCCGTTCCCACAGACAATTCTCACCATATGCCTCGGTTTACGACCCTTAAAAACTGTCCACGGTGGGCGGTAATAACTTCTATCAGGTATTCCCGGTACATACTTGAGAGCTCGAGTAATGTTAAATATCTTCACATTTTCAGAAATGGAATGGTCCATGCGTTTGACAGTCACTATCAAGCCGTTTTCGAACACTTCCAATTCATCTTTCTATGAACACATTGAACCGGTCTTCAGACTGACTTAACAGTTATTAGCGCAAAGATGATGTAGTTCTGGATGTTATCATGACGTCAAGGTATAGTGGTGCCACCTACCATTACACTTGCACACTGCTGTACCTTGACTTTTGGCATGTCAACAACCCCTCCCCCACACACATACGCATGCATACACACATATATGTGGAATTAATGGAGTACCATCCCTAAATGAGTACACCGTAACAAATAAAGTATATTTCATTTATTTTAAAAACCAATTGAGCAAGGTGATAAAGCCACTAAGATACTATGATTTACTGAGCGTGAAATAATCTGATAAAAATCATTATCAAGGAGAGGCCAATAAATAAACAGGTATTAAGATCAAAGCTAATTGGGAAGCAAGAAGCTAGGAGAGAGTTCCACAAGCGAAAAATGCAAGAGACGAAACTGTCAGCATAGAACTTATGATTATATCTCTCAATTTCAACTGTAACATGTTGAGACCTAGCTTCCAATCTAGTACTGCGCTTAAATTTGTAATGTCGGTGTACCAAAGAGGAAAGCTTAACAGAACAATTACCATGAACATATTTATAGAAAACGCACTTTATATATTATAATATTATACTTTATATAGTATTTAAATATAAATAGGCTACTCAGTGTTAAAGATAGTCATAGTTTTAAAGACGTTTATTTCATTAGTTTCTTTCAATGTGAAGAAATATGATATTTATTTGCGCAAAACAGAACGGTCACAAAGAATATCGACAAAACCGAAGGTGAGCTAAATGTCTATTGTCCCCAAATTTGCAAAATAACGCGCATACTCATCTCTATTTCCCATCCTGCCGCCATTTTCTCACAGAAGCAACACTGCAAGCTTGGCGTTACTCTATCGCTGTTTTCATGACAAATCTTCGGACGAGCTCAATTGATTAGTACTATTATTTCAGACCTTTACACATAATACCTATCATGTTATGCCTACGGAGTCGAACCACAGTCATTCAATCCGTATTCCTTTTATAAGGAAAAAGTTCCTCTCAGACATCTTTTTTTCCCAAAATCGTTGCTTTGTGAAACAGAAACCAGCGTGGCGCTATAATCTTAACCTCTTCAAATTAAGGTTTAATTCTTATCTATCCTCCGTACACGGGGGTACCGGAGAAAAGATATGATGTGCTTCCACGGATGACAAGCCTGTAAGGAAATACTGCAATATAGACACAGCAGAATATTTGAAGTTTACGAAAGCACACGCTTTAAACTCGGTCTCCGTACATGAGGGTATCGGAGAAAAGACATGGTATATTTCCACGGATGACACGACCGTAAGGTAATACTGCAACATAGATGTGTGGTTGTTTTCATGGAAGAAAAGATGCCCGCGAAAGACTTCACAATGTATATTAGAGGTTTTGAAGAATGTAATAAAAAAAAGCACAAACTTGTTGTTTTCATGGAAGAAAAAATACCCGCGGTAAACTTCACAGCAGATATTAAAGATTGATTTAAGAAGAAAGCAAAGAGAAGAAAAACAGAATAAAAGAAAAAAAAAGGAACCTAAGTGAATGAATTTCTTTCCTCATAATCATTATTTCCTACTTCCTCATTCCCATCATGCACTTTTTTCAGTAACCTTCCACCTTGATCTGCTCTTTAGTCTTGTAATGGGTGAATCCGACTAAAGAGGAAAAAATAATGAAAAAATAAACCTCAAAATAACAAAGCTACCAGGCTATGTAAATTAACATTACATGCAAGTTATTGAAAATTAGTGCCATAATTTTAGTATAACACAAATTTCAAGTGTAAAATAAGGGGCAATAAATTTTTTGGCTTGTATTGTGTTAATGTTCATATTATTCGTTATTTTATGTCATCTTAATGGCGTTTATAATTGTTTTTTTCCCGCCATTATTCTATGGGTCCGTGAACTCCATTATGGCATTGAGCGTTTAAGGTAGCGTGATGGCTAGCAATGTTGTCACGCAGATCAAATCGCTACTCTAGTCACATCGATTCTTACCGGGCATCCCACTGTGATCGCTAACCATAGTAACCACACACACACACACACACACACACACACACACACACACACACACACACACACACACACACACACACACACACATCTTAGGGAAAGACATCATAATGCCATCAAATGTATATTCTAATTGTTTGGTGAGGATGAACGAATATTTATCTTTTTGATTAATTCTGATTTTTTTCTTTCTTTTTCCCTACTCCTTTTCATTTTCTTGACTATTATATGTTTTTAATCACTTTTTCTTCATCTTGGTTTGGTTTGATTTGGTTTGTTTTCCGACATATCAACCTCAATGGGTTATTTATTGCCGACAAAATTTTTATTGCTGATAATATATTTTTCTTCAAAAATATATTTCTGGGAATAGTTTTCCTTGAAGAAATCTATAGCTGGTCATATTTTTCTCAATAAATGTATAGCTGTTTGTCTTGCTAGTATTTTTTTTTAAGTACTGCTGATAATTTCTCTTTCAAAAATTATTGCTGGTAATAATTTTTTTTATTACAAAGCATTTCTGGTATTAAAACCTATTTTTACACAAGTTTGGGTGTTAACTATTTGCCCATAGCTGGGACCCTAACAGGTGCTACCACTGCGAGTCAGGGTAAACCTGGGAACACCAGCAATTAAGACGTGGTTCTACGCTCCTTAAAACCTCCTGATCAGAGGCCTTGCTGCTGGACGCGGAGGTAGTTTATCGTCTTACCCAGGACGATTCTTCATTTTGGTTGTATTTTTAACTTTCTTTTTTAATTTAAAAACCAACTTTCAATTTCTTTGATGTTCTCCCATATTTTTTCTATATTGCGTATGATCGTTTCAATGTACAGACGATCCTTCGTTCTTTCGTTTAAATTAATTCCCGTAAGTTTAAATTCCATTCACTTTTTCTATGATTTATTCTTTTATTTTTTTTCTTCTTCATCCATTGTCTTCTTTTTTTATTTATATGTTCTCATCTTTTTTCACTTTCTTTCTCGTTACTACTTTTATTTATTTCATTCATTCTTTTAACTTTTTTCTACATATTCATTTTACACTTTGATTCTTCCTTTACTTTTTACTGCTTTTACTTATTTCCGTAATTCATTCTGATTTCTCTTTTACTCTTTCTTGTTTATTTTAGGCCTCTATACTTATTCAGCTTATGTAAATAGCCTCAAGCTGCTATTTCGCCATCCTGAACATTTCTGTGATTCTCTTTTGAATTTTATTTCCTTTACTCGGCATTTTCGTTTTAATTTGCATCAATTTTGATGTTTTTCTAATCAGCTTTCATTCTGAAGCCTTTACATTGATCGAAAAAAAAAACCTGATTAACCACCCCACCACAACGCGCTTCCGTTGACGCCGCCGTTTCCCCCGCCGCTTCCGCCGTTTACCAGTTCACTCGTCCCAAGCTCTGAACTGAAAGAAAATAGAAAAACGCGAGGAGATTCTATCACAAAATTCGATAAAGAAATTCGGTCTAGATATTTTCAGCGAGTTTATTTTTGAATCCGATAGCGCATTGAGTCAAGTGAAGCAGCATGACCCTCACGTGAAAATATCCATACCGATCGTTAATCATAGATTAATACTTTAATTAAGGGGCCCTCTCGTAAAGATAGCATTACCTATATATGACAATAAATAATTACAATTTCTTCATCTCAGAAATCATCATCATCATCATCATCATCATCATCATCATCATCATCATCATATCCTTGACTTTTGTAATCGTAGGGTGGATCCGAATGCAAAAGTCACACTAACTCTTTTCCTCAACGGTCTATCAACGGCAACCAACAGCAATTCTGACAGTCATACCTATCCATTGTTTGACATTGTCCAACCGGTTTTTGCGTTGGCGTCCTGTCCTAAGTCCACCTTTCCTTCAACGGTGCCTTGCATGATGGTCATGGACAAGGCTGTCGTGCCTTGTAATATGTCCAAACCACGCCATTTTTCTCCGTTTCACAGTGGCGAGAAGAGGTTTCTGTTCTTTCACAAAACTTTCAATCCTTTTCCGCACAAAGGCATTGTTTTTTTGTTCCCATCTCAATAATATAGAAAAACAAAATGAAACAAGAAAACGAGGAACGGAAGTATGAAGCGGAAAAGAAAAAAATGTTTAAGGAAAAAAACAAGACAAAAGCAATTACAGTAAAAATAAAACAAAAAAAAAACCCTGAAAGTTAGATAATCAGGACTTTTTCTTGGTTTCAAAAGACGTGTAACGTCAACGAATGGCATTGAGTCAAGTGAAGCGGCATGACCCTCATGTGAAAATATCCATACCGATCATTAATCTTAGATTAAGACTTTAATTAAGGGGCCCTCTCGTAAAAATACGGGAAAAAATCTGGTAAGCATAATTTATTGATTGATTAGTTTTTGACGGCTTATCAACCTTTTGGAAGATATTTAAAGTCGAAATTCATTTTTGTATTGTAAGGATAATACATTTTTCAGGCGTTTTAACATTGTATTAACAACCTTTTGAAGATAATGATTTTCAGATACAAATCATATTATTTAATCCATAAGAAATGAATTCATACATTTCCTAAAAATATTTGCGCCTATCTGAATATAACGAATTCGACTGGAATTCGAACTCGCTTCTCCGAATTCTCATTCCCAGCCGTTATCTATTACACCACCCACACATCCAAGATTATATCATCTGACATTACCAAGCGGTCACTCATCTAGGTACTGACTAGGCTTAACATTACTTAACTATATGGTAGTGAATGCTGGACAACGTGTTTCAACGTTATATGGCCATAATCCAGAGTAAAATTTATATAAATTTCCATTCATTAGACCTTTCTCAATGTATAATATATGTCAGAATCAGAAAAAAATATTAATTTCTATCATTTTAGAAATGGGGGTCCAGTTCATGATAGAAATACAGTGTTAAATCAACCCCTGTCCTTTTCTGTTTCTTCCTAATAGAACGCAGTTAACAATAATATAAGCATTGTTTCAAACTTGACATTTGCACGTAAAAACAAAGTGCAGATAACTCTTTGTAAATTCAGGGATCAATTTCAGACACTGTTTATATTATGAACTCTAAAAATGATTTTAAAAAATCATTATTTTTCAATTTTGACAAATGCCGGGTTTGAGGAAAGCCCAATAATTGTTAATGTGCAAACTGTTAAAAATACTCCGGTTTTTTTACGGGCGGACCACTTACTTTAACTAGTTCCATATATTTTACAAACCGAAGATTCCCTCGTTAAAAAGAAAATGCCCCTTTTTAATGCTTTTTTTAAAAAATTCGTATTAAGTTCTGTGTCACCAGTATAATCGACTTGTTCTTTTCTAAATTGAACCATTAAATGGCGTTAACATCTGGTAATCATAACCAAAGTCTAAGTGGCAAGAACCTTAAAATACAAGCTGATTATAAGAATTATTATTTGTACTTTAAGACTAGATATATCAATGGATATTCTGCAATTTCCTTGGTATTTTAGTTTCAACAGTGGTCTATTCTTCGTCCCCATTACATCTTGCAGGGATGCCATATTGTTTCAATTTGATTGCTAAGGTCAATGGACAGTTCAGAGTTTTAATGACTATTTGGTCAACTATGATTATTGGTGTTATTATTCCTTTATAAAACACTTTTTTTTTTACTAATAATTGAAAATCACTTGATTTTATTAGGTATTTGTGAAAAATAATATAAACATGGAAAATGAATTGAGTACTGTTATGATGTTAATTTGGGGTTAATAAAGACAAACACCAAATAACATGTAACAATAAAATGGGGTTTATTCGGTTGGTAAGTTGGTACAGATATCGCCTGAGTAGTCTATAACTAACTCAGCTCAGAACTTCTTCTACACTGTCTTTTTGACATACCACTAGTTAACGTCCTTGTTTGTAGACGAGTTCATCTTCAAGAGGGGTGGTAGATTCCTACACAACAAGTACATATGCAAAAACAGAAAGTGACGTACGGCAAGGGTGTTATTTGTGATCAAATTTATTTAATCTCTACAGCGAAACATTCTTAAAGGGAGCTGGAGAACATATTCGAATTTATTATCGGTGTTAATAATCTTAATAATATAAGATACGCAGATGACACAGTTGATGGCAGACAAAGAATGTAAACTACATGACTTGCTAGACAAAGTAGCAAAGGAAAGCGAGAAGAAAAGACTAAGCATCAACTGTAAGAGAACGAAATGTACGGTTGTCTGTAGGAGTAAGTCAAAGTTCGAAATACGAATTGGAGATGTCAACATCGAAATAACACAAAAGCTCAAATATCTGTGAAGTGCTTTAACAGTTGGTTGAAAAGGCAACCTCGAAATCCTAACGCGCATGTGAATAGCAAAAGATGAATTCCAAAAGTTAAACAAATTAATTAGAAACAGAGAAATTTCTTTAGAAACAAAGGAAGGCGAGCTGAACTATTATGTAATACCAATCCACTTATTTACATTCTTTACAGTGTTTGGACTGTTGTCCTCATTCACGACGTTTCGGTCGTTGTACAATCCAGCCTTCTTCAGGTGATTGGAATTTCGAACTGAACCCTTTATTTCATCCTTTTCCGGATGTCTCAGTTATCTCCCTTTAACTGAAATCTTCAGGTTTTTGTTTATCAGTACAGTAATAGCCAGGTATTGAACTCACAACTCTTTGGGTCAAGTCACTGGATTCAACCAACGCTATTATCCACTGGGCTATGTGTCACTGTTTGGGTCAGATCACTGGATCCAACCGACGCTATTATCCACTGGGCTATGTGTCACTGTTTGGGTCAGGTCACTGGATCCAACCAACGCTATCATCCACTGGGCTATGTGTCACTCTTTGGGTCAGGTCACTGGATCCAACCAACGCAGTAGCGAACAAAAACTTTCATGTGTTTAGGTTTTATTACAATTATAAGCATCGCTTTTTTTTTTAAAGAATAAACATTGCCGTAGAGTGAAGTTAGTTAAACTAATAACGGTGCTAAAGGACAAGTCATTTTTTGGCACTCTGTTTTTTTCCGTGCACGAAAGTCCATGTTTGTCAAAAAAAAAAAAAAAAAAAAATTTCTCGGTATGTTTAATTTTATTAAAGACAAAGATTATGAAACTGATAATTCTAACATTGACAAACATGACACATATTACAATCTTTGTCTTTCATAGAATTAGACATACCTAGAAACTGTTAGTTTGAATGCCACGTTCTTTCAGGAAGTAGATAGCCATGACTCTCCACGGCTTCATTTTCTTTATTATCTATGAACTGCTTTTTGGGAAAGATAGTTGAATGGTTTTCCTATTGTTTTCTCTACAGTTTTGAATTTAGATTTGTCCTTCTAGACTAACTGCTATGCAAGGCTGCAGAACAGTCTACCCTGTTATTAAAGTGATATCTGGGCCATGGAGAAAAGATGGATTCATGCCTTTTCAAAACAATTTTAAACTAAACTGGGATTTTTTTTTACTATCTGATCTCAACTTTTGTGGAGTTCGCCGATTCCAAATATTAAACGTGATATTAACGTTGGAACAACTTCGGTAACAAGGAGAAGTACTGAAAAGTTCTCGAGTCGACCCATTTCTAAGAATCTGACCAAATTACTAAATTTATTTATTTTATCTCTTCTTGGTCGAATCGAGAATCTTCCAGAACCCCACCTCGAATGTAGAACACAGAATGAAAGAAGTTGGCATGAAACATATCAATGTCGAAGAAATCAGCAAAGAGATCCAGCATTCGGCTTTTAGCCAGACATGACTCGTGGATGGAAAAAAAAAAGAAGTTAAATCGGGACTAAAAACGTCACTCCACCCATGTTAACATTGATGATAGCTGAGATTATTATTTTTTATTTTTGCTTATCAAACCGTTTACAAGAAATTTTTAGTCCTTTATCGCTTTTATGAGTTTATATATATATATATATATATATATATATATATATATATATATTCTCCTTTTCCTTCTGGATTATTATCTGCTGATTAAAACCACAGAGATAGATTGGATAGATGTATATATATACGTAATGTATTCATATCAGTAACATTTGCCGAGTGATTACAGTGGTTCCATAACTTTTTTTTTCTAGGCTGCATTCTCGGAATGAAAATTTACCCGCGCCTTACCAAATTTTATGTGATAAAAAGTACATTAAAAAAAAAGAGAGAGGATTAAAGGGAGATAACCGCGGATTCTAAGTCAGAACATTATCATTGATTACTCTCTCGTCTAATATGCGAAGCCTAGTTACTATATTCTTAATACTTGATATAATGCAAAAATATCACAATGATAAAATCTGTCAATAATGATTTGTAAGTATTTATACTAAGACTCATGCATGCCATTACAAGTAATCCATAATAATATTTTAAATTTTGAAATGATATATATTTTGGCATATGAATTTTTAAAATTGTTTCTAAATCTTTCAATGTCTTTCAATCATTCCGTCTCACCTGTTATCCTCTTCCGTCGAACCTATGAGGTACGCCGCATCGTTTGGGAACCACTAGAAAATGTTCGCGTCTCGACCGTGAGACCCGTGTTCAAAGCTCATTATAATCGATTTGTTAGTGAGGTGACTTCTTGATATTATCGGCCTGGGGCTACTGACCCCAGCATGAAGCATCGTTAGGTAGTGCCTGAAAAAAACATACCATTTGATAAGCCAAGTTAGTAAACAAGACTGTTCAGAAAATTTTGTTGGTTTTGGTAGCAGAAAAATCGCAAGTCACCGTGACCGAGGTTTTCAACATCCTGGAATTGTTCAACAGCTGATCTCGTCAGATTACGCGCTCTCTCCCAGAAACTGTAACTAAAATCTGATTAGCATACTTTCAGTAAGGTTAGCTCTGTGGGTATTGAAAAAACACAAATATGCCTGAACAGGTTTCTGTAACAGGAGTTTGCAATCCAATCTATGAGATGTAATCAGGATATATATACAAGGGGGTTTTAAGAATTTTTCAAGGGAAACATTTATTTATTCCCAAAGAATAGAAAATTCTAATCTCCTTCATGGCAGGACCCTCCTAATAAATGTTCTTGGAGTGGATTGATTGGATTGATAAGGAACTTAACCCACACAAACACGCACTTCGACATCTCTCTGTCTTATTTTATATATATATATATATATATATATATATATATATATATATATATATGCATGTTTCATTAAAAACGACAGACAAGGTACTACAGTTGAGCTTTTTCATACAGAACACACACACTCTACTAAGCTGATAATTGAATCATCCTTGATAATGGCTAAAGGTATAGCCAAAGCGCTCGGAAACACAGAACATTCGGACAGTTCTTACACACTTTTGTCCAGAAAAGAAAGCTCTTGTCAGAACACAAGAAAAATTAAATAAAAAGCTCAACCGTAGTACCTTGTCTGTCGTTTTTAATGAAACATGCATAAAGGAAGGATTGCTGCCTAAATATATATATATATATATATATATATATATATATATATATATGTCCGACAATTTAGACTCAGACATAGAAATTTTCCTTGGATTTTTATTCTCTTGGCCGGTAAATTTTATTTAAATTCCATACATATTTATATATTTATATTATATTATATATTATATATATATATATATATATATATATATATATATATATATATATATATATATATAGTATGTTGATACAATATGTTAACCCCTTACGCCTCTTATTGAAATAATCGCGTCAGCCGTTTCCATAGTAATTAATTTTACGAATGAATATGCTTATAAAGCTGCGTAAATTTCAAGATTAGTTATTCTAAAAATTTTGCTTGAAGATGAAATAGAGCTTGATACTTTAATTCAATTTAATTTTTATAATTAAATTGAAGTTTAGGCTTCTGTTTTTGAAACATGAGAACTCTTATGTAGCGAAGGAGTCAAATTAAAAAAAATAATTACATATATATATATATATATATATATATATATATATATATATATATATATAATGTGTGTGTATGTGCCTGCATGTGTGTATGTGTATGTGTGTGTATATCCACCAGTTCTAACCTTCACGGCTAAGACCCGCACATTGTAGTGAATTATCTCAAGGAATAAACCTCTACTTCTATTCATTATATTGGAAAGGAGTGTGAAACGGGCGATTGGCAAATCTATCTATCTATCTATCTATCTATCTATCTATCTATCTATCTATCTATCTATCTATCTATCATTTATTCGAAAGAAGTAGAGCTTAAATTATAATTATTTTAAAAAAATATGATTCTTTTGCTACTTAAGAGTTCTCATATTTCAAAAACGAGAGCCGAAAACCTCAATATAATTATTAAAATTAAATTGAATTAAAGTATCAAGCCCTGTTTCATCCTCAAGCGAAAATTTATATATATATATATATATATATATGTGTGTGTGTGTATGTGTGTGTGTGTGTGTGTGTGTGTGTGTGTGAGAGAGAGAGAGAGAGAGAGAGAGAGAGAGAGAGAGAGAGAGAGAGAATAAAAGATTTGATGTCTTTTGTCATAAAATTCTTTTTTTTCTTCTTTCAGGCCTCGTGGATTAATAAACTGCGTAAACGACATCGGCTCTGGAGCAACCTGCCCGACCTGAGCCTTTTCTCCAACATCCAAAGCCCCATGGCCCTCTGGAACCGTGCCATCAGTCAAATCATGAGCCAAAAGTATTCTCGCTTTGACTGACCAGGCCACGTGACCATGTCGACTAAGACCGAAGAGGAATCTTTAGATTCTAGTTCACGTAGTAGCGAGCATGAATCGGCCACTGGAAGAATCAACAATGCTCTACAGAAGATCAGATCAGAGCTGGTGAGTTTCCGAGTCAAATTTCTGATAATTTGGGCGAAATGATTAACAAAGCGATATTACCTTGGCTAAGGAGCACATTAGGAGTTTTTGTGCGTATTTATTAAAAACTATGGATTGTCCAGACGTATCTTGTAACATCTTTATGACTATTAACAATATACTCAGTTTGGAAGCCAATGAAAAATAAAATAGCACATCGATTAAAGTGTCCAACATTTTTTCTACTACTCTTCATCCAGCATAGGTCTCAATATCTACTCAAGTTAGACGGTTACCGAATGTGATATAAATATAAGAGGAGGAAGTAGGAAGTGAAGATTATGATTATATGAAGGATAGATAATAATTGTCCCTACACTTAATGACGTTAAAAATGTAGTGTTAGGGAAAAATTAATTCGGGAGTCTGTTCTACAAAGTAGTGATTCTTGGGAAATGGCTGATTGGGACTTCCAGCTTAAAACTGAAATACGGAAAGAACGAAAGTTATTCGACTTCGTGATATAAGTATCTATTTTTGGTGAAGAGATATTCCGTTGTCATAGTAAGAAAAACGCCAAACATTGATACATCAGACCAATAACAGTGCCTATAAGTACGTGTGTGTTTGTGTGTGTGTGTGTACTTATAGACTTCTACAGCTATCACCGAGACAGACATGGAATGTATTTCTAAATCTTGTCCGCGAAACCAGGCAGTGTGCAAATATAACTATGAGTCTTGAAAGAGTCTTGAGCGCCATTTTGTAGTGTTTTACGTGGAGCGATATTTAGCTAGGTAGTTTCTTCAATTAATTCGTTGATGTAATAATTTCGATCCTTAAAAAATCCCTACAGTCCCTATGCCAGACTAACCAATGCTTAGTAAATGCGCATACTAAAATTATTTAACATCCAGGGAACTTTAGAGTACTTTACAAACAACTTTTCTTAAGTATCTGTCTCTATTTCTGAGACGAGCTATTATGTACACTATTTACATTATTCGGACTATTGTCCTCATATTTGTTGCCATATTTATTACAACGTTTCGGACGCTGTACGCTCCGGTCTTCTTCAGGTGGTTTGAATGTCGAACTGAACCGTTTATCCAGTAGACATGGCACGTGGAACTAGAACAGTCTACCCCAGTGAGCGAAATAAAGGGTTCAGTTTGACATTCCAACCACCTGAAGAAGGCCGGAGCGTACAACGGCTGAAATGTTGTGATAAATATGGCACCAAAGATGAGGACGATAGTCCGAATAATGTAAATAGTGTGCTTTTCTTAAAGTTATCTTTCAAGATGTTCAAACCAAAATTGGTGTTACCGTGTTATTTCCGTTAATTCCAGTTGGGTTCGTTACATTCACTTACGCGCAAATGCCCTTGGGAAAGGTATGAATTTTTCTTCCCCTCCCCCAGCAGGATAGACTGGGTCTTATGGTCTTGGTTATCAATCAGAATGAAACGACAACCTACTACGGGAAAACATTCTGCCGTGTAAATCATAAATCCTGACATGATGGCACAAGCGTGTATTGTGTATGGCATTTAACTGACTGAACATTTAGTGAGAATTATCATCATCATAATCATCATCATCATCATCATCAGCAGCAGCAGCAGCAACAACAGCAGTAACAACAGCAGCAGCAGCAATAATTAGTTATCCACTGTAGTCTAAAGGCTTCTCCCAAAGCTATGCTATACTCCGCCATGCCTTATTGCCAAACCCCTTTATCTATGTCTCAATGTTTTGTCCGGTTGTTTCATACTACGTCTTCTACCTATTAGGCAACAATGAAGCAACCTTTTAATCCGCCTGTTGTCTTTTCTTCTTGCATCGTTTAATCACGTATTCGCTTGTGTGATTCTTATCTTGCTCTGTTCCCTGATCGATATAAACCTATAAAGTTCACCGCCATCAAATCACCGCAAGGAAAGTTCAACATCAGAAAAGTTCACCTCCGTAAAAGGTAAAAAAGAAAAAACAATTTTTAGTGGGTTCTAATTTTATTGATCAACGTCTCTAAAATATTTTAAAAATCGAGTAACAGGAAATAATAACTGATATTATGAGTTTTAATTTAATTAATTTAATAATTAAAAGTTGGGTTTCTAATAACTGATATTATACGTTAATCCTCTCAAGTCGTCGGTAATACAATTATCTTCGTTGTAATTTAGAATGAGTCTTCGAATTCGCCCAGCTGAAGTAACATAGCCTCTGCGTACTTTTTTAAGCCTTTCCCCAGCCGTATACTGTTTAATTTCAACTTCAGTTAGTCTTTCTCCATTCTTAATGTGATCCAAAAAATTAAAAATATTGATCAATGAAATTAGAAACCAATAAAAAATTGTTTCGTTTTTTTCCTTTTACGGTGTACGTTCCCCTAGGTGAATTTTTCTCACGGTGTATTTTCCCCTAGGTGAATTTTTCTCACGATGAACTTTCCTCGGGGTGAATTTTTCTCACGGTGAACTTACCTCGAGGTGAATTTCTCTGTGCTGAACTTATCATAGCATTACTCTTTCAATTTTTTGGAATATCCAAGAACTTCCACTGTTGTGAATAGATTTCCACGTGGAAGCTTCCTCAAACACTTTGATCCTGACCCCTTTCGTCAAGGGTCAATCGTTATCTATCCAACTTGTCATCATTATCTCCACTTCCTACCAACTCTCGTCTTAAGGCCATATCACGGTGAAACACCGATTTTCTCGTACGATTACCAAAGGTAAGCAACGTCTAGCTTGTTCAGTACCTAGATGGGCCACCGTTTGTGAATATTAGATGCTGTAAGCGTGGATGAGCGGTTGGTGTAATGGATAACGGCTCGGAATTGGAAGTCGGAGAGCCGAGTTCCAATTCTATTCGGGTTTATTATACTAACTTAGGCGCAAATACCCTTGGTATTTATCCACAGATATGAGTTGTTTAGCAGAACTTGTATCAGTAAAGTATTATTATTCCCCCAAATTCTTACAATCTAAAAATATTTTCTGACATTAAATTACCTGCAAAAGGTTGATAAACCATAAATATCTAATAAATAAATCAGTCAATCAGTGGACTACCACCATTACAAACATTATTCATCATTACCATTTCAACTTTAATTCTCTGCCTCGACTGACTCTTGAGCCTTTTATTGGGCGAAATTTGGTTAATTTTGTTAAAAAAATCATAAATTTTAAAATGGAGTAAATAATTGTTATTTTTATTGAAATCACTGCTTAGCCTTTACTTCACGGCTTAAATTAGCGGATAAGCCTCCAGCAAACGATCAATTATCTTCGTTCTATCTACAGGAATCGATATTATTGTCCTGCCGGCCCGAGATAAAAAAAAAAATAAATAAATAAAAATCTGGAAATTCTTGTAGAATCAGATCTGCATTAAGCAAAACATGAACTGAGCTTTCTTTTTTTTATTTTAATTGGGACCTGCGAGGCATATCCTGGTAGATACAGACGCCGACTTGCTTTTGCTGAATCCATCGACCTCGAGTTATAGGTTCAATCGTTACGAAGTTTGACTGTACACCGGCACGTCAGAGAGTCGCCGTGCCATAATAGGGATAAAAAGAGAATGCATGTTCAGATTTTCAGGAAGGAAATTAAACAGGATTGAAAAAATTAGAGGGATTAATAGAGCCGTAATAGAGTAATGATGATAATTATTTACGTATTTATGATCGTCCTTGAAGCGGGCTATCTGCAGTGAATCCCTATAAAATAAAATAAAATATAAAATAATATCTATAAACAACAAAAAAAAAAAAAAGATTTAAATTAAAATAAGTCAATTGCGCTTTCCTTTAAAACGCATATCTCTATCTTTTTCTATCATTTTCTATTTTCTAAACTTTTTTTTCTGAAATTTTGAAAAACAAACTAATGAGAACTGGTCCAGAGCCTAATTTCTGAAATAAAAATCAGAAAGTTAAAAAAAATGAAAATGGGAACGCCGGAAAACAAGAAAAAAATAAAAAAAAAAAATGAACAGAAAAAAAGACTTTTAATGTTAGCTGAAACGAAAGGTCTCGGGGTCTGAAAAAAGGGACATACCGGAAGTTTACTGGGAGGTCCAGAGCCGCTACTTTTCTCTCCTGCCTTTAGATTGACTGAAATTTCTAAAAACTCTGACTTCACAAATTCACCACACGTAATTCAACTCTTCCGTTTTATTTCCGAATTCCGAAAAATTACTCTCCGGCATACAACATCAACATGTCTAAAAATCTGTCGAAATGAAAAAAGGAACGCCTATGAAAAGTTCATTACCTATGATTAATAAAACACACACACACTTCTGCATTTAATTTTTCATGGCTCTCCAATAAAAAAACTTTTAATGAACAGAAAAAGCCATTCATTTAACTTTTAATTTGATATTTTCCTCTGTCCGTCTTGAAACGAAGGTTTTTCTGTCCTCATTCAGAAATTCTCTCTTTTGATTTTAAATGCAGCTGTCCTTTTTATTCGTTTTATTTAAAAACTCCACATCTCTTTTGCCTCCTGTCTCCCCTTTATCTGCGATGAGATTGTTCAGTATTTATTGCTATATTGGTTCAATGATATAAGCTTTGTTTCTAATGAAATTTTCTGTTTATTCATACTTTGCTTAGCTTTTGATGGGGGGATTATGCCGGAGAATTTCCGCAAAGTCACAGGACAAAACACTTCCAGCTTAAATATTGCTTGATTCTGACCATCCACATTTGTTGATAATCACACATTCTGTCCTCACGAAAACATGGATAAACAATGCCCCTAAGAAGTAGTTTTAAGCCAATTAAATTAATAAATATATATTAAAAATCGCTACATAAGAGTTCTCAGTTTTCTAACATGATTTCTATATATATTCACACACACACAGAAAGGGGATATAAAGATATATATATATGATGTGTCTTCTCGTCGGACTTATTCATATAAAATATTTCATACCTTTGTCAATTGTCGTAAATCTTTTAACCTTGTCACATGACGACACTTGTATACGATATAAGTAATTAAGAAGTGCAGCATTCTTAAATTGCTGAGATAAAGCTAATAAAAATATTTTAGATGATACTGATTATAAGACTTATACTGGAATCAAACCACCTGATTCACTATTAACAAGACAAGGATGTGTCTTCTCGTCGGACTTATGCAAACTTTACGATGAAGTAATCCTAAGAGAATTACAAGTCCTAACAGGATTCACTATTAACGACCAATCTTAGATGAGATATATAATGTTGATAGCAGACACAGAAAGGTAACTACTGGAACTCCTACAGAAGGTAGTAAAGAAAGCGCGAAGAAGGGACTAACTATCAACTGTAAAATGACAGAACGTATGGCTGTCAGCAAGAGATGCGAATTATAAATTGGAGATACCAAAATTAAACAAGTTAGCAAATTTAAATATCTTGGAAGTGTTTTAACAGAGGATGAAAAATACGACATTGAAATTCGAAGGTGCTTTGCGATAGCAAAAGATGCATTTCAAAAGTTAAGCAAAGTATTAAGAAACAGGAAAATTTCATTGAAAACAAAGAACAGAGTACTGACCTGTTATGTAATATCGGTTCTTCAAGATGGCAGTGAATGCTAGAACATCTAATCACAGATGGAGAAGAGAAGTGGGGGTAACAGAAATGTGATTCTACAGAAAGATGCTGAGAATGCTAGCGACTGAATAAGTGAGCATCGGTGAAATCTTAAATGGAAACAAAAAGTACACTTATACGTAACATCAGAAAGAGTTGAAATTTCTAGGGCACACAATAAGGAAAGAAGGCTTGGAAAATTTTACACTCCCATGAGAGGCGCGAGGAACAGAGGAAAGCAACGGATAACTAATAAGCTTTACTAATGGCTACAAAGTTCAGGATGTTGCAGAGAGCCATGATCGCCAACACCCTGGAGAGACACAGCACATAGAAGAAGAAGAAGAGCGTGACAATTCTAACTCCTTTAATTTACAGTTCTTCCAGTCTTTTTTCCCTAGGCTCTTTGGAAATTACTCCTAGTTCTCCGTTTATGACTGGCATGACTTCAGCTCCACGTTTAGCAACTTCTTCAGTTCTTTGGCAAAATCGAAATGCTTACTTATTTTTTTTCTTTTATATATATATATATATATATATATCCAAAACTGGCAGGTCTTTTGTTTTTCCCTATTAACCTATCCGGTGTTTTGGCCTAGATTATTATTATTATTATTATTATTATAGGTTTTTGTTTGAAAATATGTAAGCAACTTATTTTTTGTTATTACTAGAAATTTGGATTTTCTGATCAATCTTACTTCTTCAGTTAATGATAGCGTAAGCTCATGGTGAGACCTACAATAAAATATCCAGAGGAATTTCTCTATCACATCATTAAATATTAGAGTTTAACAACTTTAACAAAATATTGCAATAACATAAATATGAGTGCTGGTCATTATTCTAAGAAGTAAGGGGGTACAAATGAAAGGATTTGAAATTGACAACTTTTTCCATTTCACTAAAACAGCCGGTAAATATCTTTCTTTTTCTCACTGAAACCCAGTAGCGTTCTGATATGTATTTTCTGTTTTTCTACGCGATCAAGACGCAACAATTCATTATTTATGAGGTACTGACGTGCGTGCTAACTAAGGGAGGGACAAGCAAAATTATAATAATATTATTCAATTAATTTTTTTTTTGTGGACTTATCCTTCTTCAATTGTCATTTTGCAGTCTGAAATCCGAGATCAAGATTTAAAACTTCTGAAACAACTGATTCAAATCAGTGAGACAATCAAAAGATTGAGCGAAGATCGCTTGAGCAAGCGACGCACGTGGTACGGACAACGCCAGTCAGTGTGCAGCGAATCAGCCGAACTCTATTTGGATATTGAGCCGCTCACGCCAGATTTGGACGACTATCGAGAAGCAATTCTAGTGCGGCAGTTCAGCGAACCGGTATCTTTTTCCCGGGATGACCTGCTGGACATGAGAACAAATCTAAGCATCTTCGGTAAGTACACCATCAGATTCTATTCGCGTAAATGACTCATATAAACGAACCTACATACTCATGTGAATATATAAGTAAAACATTACAACGTACACACAAGGGTATACTAATGTCTGATTCTAATAACATGCACATGAATATAATAAATATATAAATCAAAATAATAAAAACTCTTCGTCCACCGCAAGGAAAGTTGGCTCCCTGTGCCACACCAGGAAATTTTTCTCCCCGGAATCGATCCTTCAGATCTACAAATGAACAATTCGCCCTTATTGCTGCCATATATGGTCTGGAGCCCCTTCTGTTTGCCGCAGGGTCCTTAATAGGCTCCAGAGGCGGATATGCAATATAATTGGCCCTGTTCTGGCATCTCGTCTGCAGTCGCTCTCCCACAGACGCACCGTTGCCTTTCTCTGTCTTTTTTTACAAATACTTTTATGGTAATTACTCCAAGGAGCTGCATTCGCTGGTTCCCAGACTTCATGAGTTCAAGCGTCCTACGAGGCTGGCATCCCGCTCTCACCCTTTCACTGTCGAAACTATTAAATGTAGCCGTCTCTTCTACTCCAATAGCTTCATGTCTCGTACATCTCGCCTGTGGAACTCCATTCCCTATTCCAGTTTCTCTGAGAGCTATAAACTCCAAATATTCAAATGTAATGTCAATCGACATCTCCAGTTGCCTTGATCTATCCTCTATCCTTCTCCTCATCCACTCCTCTATCACTCCTACTTTATCTTGCTCCAAATCTTCTGTAACCCCTTGCGTCCTAGTGGCTTCCCGCTTTGCTTGGGGTGAAAATTAATATATATATATATATATATATATATATATATATATATATATATATATATATAATATATATATATATTAAAAATAAGAGAGAACCGCAAACATTTTTTGTTGTAATGTGGATTTTTAAAAAAAAATATTATACTTTATTTTCCATAATTTTGCTACACGTGACCTTCATCAGGCAAAGCGTAGAGATTTCCACATATTATTAAAAATAATTTATTTATTTCTTATGTTTATCGATGTTAAATATTCTCGATATGAGACATTCTCTATTTTGTGTATTAGTGGCCCAAATGTCTTCCTGAATTAGCAGTGAAAAGTTCTGCATGAAGGGTTATAAAACAATTAAGATTAGTTCGAGAAATGGTGAAGGAGTTATCGGCATTCTTATCTTTAAATGACCCCTGTGTGTTCTTAGATCTATTTCCATTTTCTTGTGTTTTTTTTTCAGCATGCGTATATGTATATTCCCTCTCCATACATACACACTGTCTTATTACGAGGAATTAGTAAACACATTTGTACACATGCACACATATACACACACACACAAATACACACACGCACACATATACACATACAATATATATATATATATATATATATATATATATATATATATAATCGAATGGGTAAGTATAGGTGGATGTACGAGCAAGCGATCTTATACAAAGACATATAAATACTCTATAGTGTAAGAAAAAAAAGTGCTCAATGTTAAATAACAGAACTATTTAATATATATTAAGGGGAATATACAAAATATCTTACATTGATTGCACAACTCATGCCGAAGCAATTATCAAGTGCCGGTCTGTTTATTTTTATCTTGATTTTAATTTAAATAAAATTTAAATTGCATACCTTCTCCTCGAATATGTAGACACAAATATACAATTACACATGTACAACAAATCTATATACAATGCAACTTCGGTTCTCGAACGTCTCACATATCGAACAAATCGGTTTTCGAACAGAAAATTCGAGATGAAAATACCTCGGTTCTCGAACATTGTCAAATCGAGTTAACCTGAACGGAATAATTTCTGAATCGACCGCCGTGTTGTATACATTCGTGTGTTTCGGCGTGCTTTTCTTTTCCAATTTTATTGTATTGTGACTTTTATCTCTACATTGATTCCTATTGAAAAATAGTTTCGGTTTACGAACATTTCGGGTTACGAATGGCCTTCAGGAACGAATTAAATTCGTGAACCGAGGTTCCACTGTATGTAAAAAATTCAGATATAACTAAAACTAGCAGTATAACCCATATTCGACCGGGTCTTCCATTACTGGGAATTTTTACCGTTCAATTGGGGCAGTTTAAGTTTAAAGTCAGCCCACTCGAAAATCAATGTTAGAAACAACAATTGGGTGCAATTGAGGCACATCCACAAATGGGGGGTAACAATTTGAATGGAGGAGGCTGAAAAGGGCCCTTTTTTGCATTCTCAATCTTGTTTCAGTTTCACGAACTGCAGCAATTGAAGAGGGTTTCTCCTCAGCTGTTGAGTTCTTTGATCATCATTTTCAGCCTCGCGCGTAGAAGCGTTCAGATATGTTCTTCTGGAAAGCCGATGGCTACGTTGATCTTCGGACTCAGTGGCTCTGATTGAAGTATTCCGAGAGGCATTTTGAGACAGGCAAATTGAACGTTCTAAAGACGATTCGTTATCTCTGATTCGCATGACGGACTTGGTGGCAGCGATTTTGCAACCTAGGCAAGTTCTTTTCTTTGGTGGCATGTCTTAGGCAAGTATGAATTGACAAATGGGATGCGTGGGCAAATACAAGAAGAGAACGCTGTAAAGCTACAGGGATCACTAAGCTCGAATAACTTTAGGAAAGGTTGGCAAAATAAATGTGGAGTAATAAACAATCAAGTTTACTTATTATTACGGTGAATGCAATGCAAAAACTGGCAGGACAATAAAAAATTTAAATTGGGAACGGCTATAAACGACTATGAAAGCAATGTCTTGAAACTGTAGTAGTAGGATTTATGCAACGGAAAAGGTAACATCATTTTGAGAGGGATTGAACATTTGACCAAGAGAAGTGGGGAATGTATAATTTGGAATCAAAACCGGCACTATCAAACAAAAACAATTCATCGAAATCGGAGGAAAACTATGGAAACGCATAAACAACATATCACACACACACACACACACACACACACACACACACACACACACACACACACACACACACACACACACACACATTTTGAGAATTATATATATAGATAGATCTGTTAAAGAATCCCATACTAAAATAATTTAAATATTAATTGCATAAAAAATTCAACATGATGATTTACTCACTTTCGTTTAGACATTAAACTACATTACTTAGCGTCCCCAATAATTTACCATGACATATATATATATATATATATATATATATATATATATATATATATATATATATATTTGGGTGGTGTGTGTGTGTGTGTGTGTGTGTGTGAGAGAGAGAGAGAGAGAAAAGAGAAAGACAGAGATAGAATTTTTTTTTGAGATTTGACATTTTTGTCGTAGGAAAACTCATCTCAGGATTTTTCGCCTTATGAAACTTTGCCGTATATGATTTTTGCAGTAAGACAATTTCGCCGTATTTTTGTTCGCTACTCTTATCTTGAACGTTCCTTTTGGAGTAATGTCCAACTTAATATGCGAAGTACCTTTTTATCAAGTATATATGAATGTCTTTTTTTGCAGAGTCAAACATCTTTATTTTCACATTTCCAATATGTTTTTCACCGTATTTTCCATCTATACTGTAAACTGTTAAGATTAACTAATTTGAATGCCAATTATACTTTGGATCAAAAAGTGGTGTGTTGTTAAAATGTATGTTCAAATATAAGAAAGTACATTTCAATATTTAGGTATTTATAGTAAATTTAAAACAGTTTATGTTTGCAAATAATTTGTGTAAATTTCAAAAGACTTACTGAGAGCTTGAAAGGGTTATCTTTCTTTGATCAGATATTTTATTTTGAAGTTGCTTATGTATTCAAGTTGTAAGTTTGTTTGAAATAATATATATTGCTTGAGTAAGAATTATTGGCAGACTGATATGGTAACAGAAAGTTTAACGTTGAGTCTAAAATATGAACTTGCATGACTTAGGTTCTGGCGTTAAGTGGATATTTTTGCGCTTCTCACTGATGTAGGATTTTGACCCTATAACTTCACTTATTAAAATATTTAAATCGAAGTAACAATAGTGTGAGTTAGACATGATAGCAAGGTACTTCGCATAATAAAAGAAAATACGGCGAAATTGTCTTACGTCAAAAAACTTGTACTGCAAATTTTTCTACGGCGAAAATTCTTGAGACGAGTTTCCTACGGCCAAAATGTTTACATGGAATGTTCCTAGAACCGATTGTGACGGCCCAAGCAGTAAAAATATAAAGCTCAAAATGAACTGATGAGTTGAATTATTTAATTTATAAGGAATCTGCACTGATATACACCAAAACTTCACTAAGGTAAATAAAACTTATTGTGGAGGTTAAATCTGTAAGACATGACAGAAAGGTTAGCCGGAGAAAAAGAACCCAATATCGCTAAAAGAGGCGGAAAGTGCAAACTGAATGTTCTTTTAAGATGGTTGTCATAAAATTGTACTATCAACTTGTTGAAAATAAATGTGAAGTGTTTAACTCAACAACTAAACCGACCAATCTTTCTGATCGTTACTCTCGGGAGGAACGTAGTTTTATATTATTAAACCATGTAAATCTTTGGGTTGTAACAAACGGTTCTCTTGTCAATGCCCCCCCCTGCCCATGTAATTTGGCTTCTATGATATTAAATCTCAAGTCGGTACGATATTTCTGAACCAAGGAAGAGTTCTGTCGCTTTGATTTCTGGGTAGATGAGACATGTACACTCAGGTTATTACGCCTGCATCTTATTCCTGGATTATTTGTCCATTTATTAAGGATGGTGGAGGTAGACATTTTTCTGGGTTTTAGCTTTATTTTTACCCCTTTGATATTCAGGTATCCGAATCTTTGACAAACTTCGAAGGCGGTTATCCTATTAGCAGGTGTATGATATCGGGTAATGCCACCTTGTGAATGGGTTCTAGAACGTACAGTAATAACCGGTGGGACCTCTCTATACCATGATGAAGTGTATTGTTACGGATGTATCTACCTATCTCTAACATATCAGTGAGG